TTTTTTTTTTTTTTTTTTTTTTTTTTTTTTTTTTTTTTTTTTTTTTTTTTTTTTTTTTTTTTTTTTTTTTTTTAATTAGCCTCTTTAGTATAGGGTTTTTTATTTAAATATATTGAAGGTGAAAGGCTTACAGCAGAACTCTGAATTACATTAGAGAGTATAACTAACTACATGTATATCTTTTGAGCACCTATTTAAGTAGTTTGCATATCAATTTACACTTTAGGTTCTATACTAGCTACCATATCTATAACTCAACTAGGCGATTATCTATTTAAATCCTCTGTAATATAACCAAACCCTCACTTGTTATTACTAGGACATCTTTACTATATTTGTCAATTAAGAAGTACTAGATGCTTACTGTAGCCTTAGAACTAATTTATTCTGAGACATCGTTGCTAGAGCTTTCCATACCCACAATCCGGCTAACCTAGATTTCAGTAACTTATGCCAAGTCCAAAGACAAGTACTTGCGAACTGAGACCGCTACCATTACCTACTTCTGCCCTTGTAGAGTTCACTCAAACCTTAGTATCCACTTTACAAACTATTACTAATACTCTTGACATTCCTAAACTACCAATTCAGATGGCCCAAAGAGAACTTTCGCCTGCAGGTTTACTGATCCTCTGATATTCTGCAGTCAAGCAGATTCTTTTCCTCCAGTTCTGGTGGCCAGGTTGGTAGGGTGTCTTCCTAAACACCCATCATTCGATATCTCAAACTCCCAATCTAGTTGGTCTGAAGGTGACTTTTGCCTATAGATTTACTGATCTTCTGGGATTCTGCAGTCAAGCAGATCCTTTTTTCTGGCTCCGGTGGTCTGATTGATAGAGTGCTTACCATACACTTCAGTCATATTTAGTATTTACTAGTTTTTTCAATAATAGTCCTTTATATAGTACTGTCAAAGATCTGTACTACCTTTCTACTCAGGTCTTGCCAAGCAGACATCTATCTTTCTGGTTCTTTGGATTAATGCGATCATTGAACTTTCTTTATATAATTCATATATAATACAAATGCACTATGATCTCCCAATCAAGTTGGTACTACTAAGGTTACAGAGATCTTATTCCAACTGATCAATGAAAGACAGTAGCTATTGTACAAATAGAATTTTCGAAATTCGTCACTAGTAGGTTTCAAACCTTCTATTTGGCTGACAAGTTGCTTGGGGTATAACAACTTACTAACTTCACTAAGTCGCTACACCCTTTAAGTTTTTTTTTAAATATATATATAGTATATTTACTAAAAAATATAGATGCTAGAATTCAACCATTACAATTTGCTCGAGTAGCTAAAATTGCAAGCTATTTATAGATTAATATGATTGAATCAAAAACTAAAAATGTGGTCTAGAGATATTAAAAATACAATTATATAAATATGCTTACAATGAAGAATCTTATAACAGATTCTATGAATCAACTATTAATAGCTTAATTCGATAATAGAAAACTACAGGTGATGGTATTAAAAATAAATTAGGCACACTTTCTTTTTTAGAAGTTAAGCTGTTTTCAGTATATCTTTATATAACAAGTTGTAAATATATATAGTTATATTGTAGATAGATTTTAGAAGATTAATGTAACAAGCTAAGAACAAAAAATTTAGAATCAATAGTAAAAATAAGTTCCTATTTAATATCAAATACAAAACAAGAATTAAGTTTTTATAGATTGGAATTAACTGAAAAGAAAATACAAACTGTTTTTTGAGATATTGTTTTGTTTTCTAAAGCTGATGAAGAAGAAGATTTTGATGAGTTAGACAAATCTGAAGATCCTGTTGATTCTGAATTTGAAGCTCAAAGCTTAGAAATTGAAAATTTAATAGTTTTAAATAATATTGAATCAAATAATAATAACAAAATATTAATAGTGATAATAATTTGAATGAGGACTTGAATAATAATAAAATTGAAAAATTTGATGAAGATATATTTGATGCAGAATTTGAATCGATGTTCAATAATTAAATTAGGATCTTTTGCAGTATAGATAATATATATTCTAAAACAATTGATTAATAATATATTTTAATAATAGGATTATCTATACTGCAAAAGATTTTTTAAATTTAGTTGATTATAAAAGTATTGAATATATAGTTTTTTTTCAAATATCTAAACTGTCTGTTAGAAATAAAATATGCATGCTCTTTAAAATTATCCTCTTAATAATATAACCTCTTATTTATATACTATATCAGAGCCTATTATAGGTTTTAAAATCAGTAAAATGTAAAAGACCTAGGTCTTTTATGTATCTGACTATTTATGATACTTGATTACATAATTTTTATTAAATTAATTTCACAAAGTGACTGAGTCAGCATTATTACAAGATTATATATATTACATCAAAATGATATTTTTTTGAATTATGATATATATTATGTATACAAGGGGTATATATAAAGATTTTCATTTCACTATTGCTTGCTTTATAATATTAGACTAGGTTTCTTATTTTAACCTACTACCTAAAATTAAGTTATTTTTTATAAGTTACGACTTTGGAGCTGTTTAATAATGAAAGGCTTCATAACTGCTTAGCAGTACAAGAACTTATAATCTAATTAATTATAGCTCCAAGATTGCAATTGTACAACTCTTGAACTATTTGATAAAAAAGCTTTTATGCAGTATAGGCAGTATGATTGTAATCTTAAATACTAAATGGTAATTAGAGATGCATCCAATAGTAAATGTAAGTATAGTAAGGCTTGGTTTAATTAAATTAGCCTCTAGTTATTAATGATACTTTTCAAATCACTATTGTAAGCAACACTCTATAAAGAAATAGTGCAATAATATATATTGTATTTAAAGTGCAAGTAAAAAGATAATAAATATGTAGAATTGTATTTGAATTGTAAACAAAGGAATGAATATGATAGTATGAAAATTATTTATAAGAATAGTGAATATCATGCCAAAGAGAATATAAAGTAAACCATATTCTATATATTTATTCTTGTGTTTTTACCAACAAAGTGATCAAGAATAATAATTTAAAATTAATACAAGTTAAATAAATAAATATACATGCAATATGAATACAACAAAATATATAATTCTTTTGTATTATTAATTTAGACATTTAGTTATATAATATTTATTTAGTTAACTATTTAGATATTTAGTTGTATAATATTTATTTAGTCAACTATTTAGACATTTAGTCAAATTTAAAATTTTGAAATTTTTATAAAAAAATAGCATTATATCGAAATATATTTAGACACAAATTGTCAAAATATATTTAGACACAAATTGTTTAAATATTTAACTAAATAGGGTATTTCAACTAACAACATTATTTGCGTCCCAGTTTTTATAATGAAAGTATTCTCTGGCTGTTTTGTTCTTACCAGTTTTTTCATAATATTTTAACTTAACTATGGCCTGATTGTTGCTACACAACCTACTTTTGCTCTTATAGAGTTCACCCAAACTCTGATATATTTACAGACTATTAACTGTATCTCAGCTATCTCAAACTACCAATTCAGATGGCACAGAAGGGCTATGATCTGCTCTGGTCCTCATGATTGGATCCTTTTTCTCTGATTACTTCTCCAGTAGCCTGGTTGATAAAGTGCTTTGCTGAGCACTTTGGTCTTATTTAGTTTAACTGGTTCTTTAAGTATTAATCTGCATATAGTACTATTGAAGATCTGTACTACTTCTCTATTTGGGACTTCCCAAGTGAGCACCTTACCATTATATTGGCCATGTGGCTTTCTGCGATTTTGAAGGACTTATTTTTGGTTTTGCACTAACTAAACTGGCTTGCATACCTTTATATAACTTCTTTATTATACAAATACCTCAGAACCTTCTAATTTTTATCTTGATATAACTACAGTTACAGGGTCTCGAGTTTTTCTGATCACAACAATAGTTGCCAAATCTGTTATTTCTAAAATCTAATTTTCATCTTCTATAAAAATTGAACTTATACTCAACCACTTGGAGATGTAATAACTTCACTACTTCACTAAGTTGTTACACTCTATTAAAATATATATTAAGAAGAGAGGAGGGGGTAAGCTTCTAATAAAAAAAAATCAGGTAATAAATGATACTGTCCTAATTGCTAAGTGTACTTACTAATTGCTAATTGCTAATTGCTAAACATAATTATTAATAGTTAATCATTAAGCATAATCACTAATTGCTAATTATTAAATGAGTGATCAACTCTTTTTTATAATCTTCTGAACAATAACAACAATTATTGTGCAGCCATATTATTGACGATTGCACTAAAAATTCTCATATTTGTATAGTTTATATCATTACTGTTTTTATATCTTTTTTTTTTATGGCTTAAATTTTAATAACAGTCTCATATTAAAAAAAAAATGAGAAATGTAAGAAAAAAGTTTAATTTGATGACATAAACTATACAAATAAAAAAAATAGTATAGTCATCAATAACTGCTTCACAATAATACCATTATTGAATAGAGTTAAAAATATGCACGTGGGTGTTAAATGGTGGAAGATGATTGGTGCAATCATGCCGCTGTGCGGCATAATCTGCACCAAACATCTTTTACTGTTTAATACCCACGTGCATATTTTTGAAACCCTATCCAATAACTATAAAAAATCAAACTACAGAAAAATAATATAGGAATATCCAAGACAGATACTTCTCAGTTCTACCTTAGAGTAAAACAATTGTTGATGAAGTTTGAAGATGTGAAACACCAAGAAGCATGTGTTTTTTAACCAGTTTTTCTTAGTATTAAACTTTGCTTTTTCTGATAGACTTTTTAAGTTATTTGGCATCCAAACCCGAAGGATATTCTGAAAACTGTTTTTACCTTTATATAGGTTGTTGTTAACAAAGTTTAAGAGATATGATATACTGAGAAGCAAGTGTAACTTGAATAGTTTTTCTTGAGGTCAAGTTTTTTTTGCTAATTTGTTAAATGACTCTAAATTATTTGGCATCCAAACCAGAAGATCTATTTTAGAAACAAGTAGTAGTCAAAAGACTTTTACTAAGATAGTTGAAGCTTAAAGAATTATCTATACAATTGTAAAAGTTATAGAAAAACCTCACAGACTTTCATTAACCCTTTATTTTTTTCAGTAAAAATTTTATAAAAAGTGAATAATTTAGCTTACCTCCTTTAAATGATTGATATATTGTTTATTTACCAAATCAGTCACATTGTTTACTTTTTTACCTATCATAACAAATACATAAATATATATAGAACTGAACAAGTAGATTATATGCCTCAAATGTAATAACTTGGACAAACAATGATTCAAGACCTCCAGTGTAAATTTCTAACCTTTTTAACCTCTTTATAGTGCTAATATCAAAGAAGCTATTTTTTTTTTACTTTGTTACAGAGTTTTCTTATCTTAGATATACTATATATATAAATTAGAATATAAACTAGTTTAAATAGTAGTATATAATTTTTATGGAGCCCAACACTGACTTATAATTGTGACCATCTAATGCAAATAAAAAATCTTGTATTTAGTTTAGTTTTTTTCATTTTCTCCTTTTTCTCTTCTTTTTTTATTTATATTTTGTTTAACTTTATCTCTTATACCTCTGTATTATTTTAAAAATTTTTCTTTTTCTTTCACTTCTTTATAAGAAGATGCTATCAAATTAGCAGTATTCTGTTGTAGAACAGTGGTCGGATGAGTCTTCTAGTTAAGGTATTATCTTAATTGATCATATTTCGCCAGTATAGCAAGTCACCTATGGGTGCTTAAGTAGTCTTTAGTTATATTGCAGTAGCTATAGGATGTTAGGGTTGTAGTTTTATTGTTTTAAATTTTTTATGAAATGATAACTTGAATAAACAAATTATTGGCATGATCTTGCTTAAATAAAAAAAAATAAAAAATAAAAAATACTAATCACTAAGTATAATTATTAATTATTAATAGCTAAGCAATTTTTTTTTTTTGGTGTTCAGGTGGAATCTTGCCCATGACTTTATTTATTGTTAATACTTTCATTATATGTATTACTATATTTCTGTATTTATATATATCAAGTACACCAAGCTCAGACCCAGATTTTATTGGTTATCTATACTCTGGCCGAAACCGGCACTTGCGCGATAGGTGTTCCTATCCACTATCTGGCTACCGATTCATTATCTGCGATCCAAACTTACCAGAGCAGTATGTCCTTATGGGTAGCACTTACCTGGTATTTTTTCACCCTTTACTAGTCCTATTTTGGTATACTTCTCTATAATGTCATTCTCCGCATCTCTTATACCACTTATATCTAAGCTTTCAAATTTGGTAATTCCTTCTGAGATATAGCCTTGTAGCCTCAAGAGCTACTTCCAATCTTGGTTATCTTCAGCTAGTCTGCCCAGATAGTATCACGAAGAGGAACTCATGCTGGCCCAGGTTAAGCCTTATCATTAATGCCTAGTTTAGTTAGTATACTGCCGATTCCTATTACCTTATAGGCAGTGTTGTCACAGGACAGTTGTGGACAGTAAGTTTGGACACTTTGGACAATTTTGGACAATTAAATAAATAAAAATTACTCAAAATTTTATTAAGATAACATTAATTTCTAAGTAAAATATGTTTAGCATATAAAAAAATATATAATCATATATTTTTTAAACAAATTTATTAATTA